GTGTGCTTGACACATTCCTGTGCTAGGGGTTAGGGTGCCCTTTGTACTTTTAGCAGGAATATTGTGAAGGGTAAGGAGCCCTGGTGGCACAGTGGTGAAGTGCTTGGCTGCTAACCTAAAGATTGGCAGTTCAAACCCGGTTGGTTCATAGGAGAAAGATATGGCAGTCTGCTTCTGTCAAGATTTATAGCCTTGGTTCCTGTGGTGGCAGTTCTACTCTGTCTTGTTGGGTTACTAAGAATCAGAATTGATTCAGTGTCAATGGGTTTATTGAGAAAGGTACAGGGAGAGGCCTGCAGAAAAATTATTGTGGTAGGGGCCAGTTATGAAGGCAAAAAGATATGTTGTGCCTTATTTTCCTTTTTCAGTGGTTCATCTAACAGGGAAACATCTCCAGTGAGCAGTAGTGGCTGCCTCTCTGGCAAAGCTTGCTTTGATCTTGGTCAGCTGTATCCTTATCCTCTCTCTCCATTCTGTTATGCTCCAACTCATTCTTCAAGCCAGCCTATAGGATGCCAACCTCTCCCCAACGTGCTCAACTCTTCCTTCTTCTTCTCCTCTGGAGACTCACAACTCTTTGCACCTGCTTTCTCTGTAACATTCTGTTTTCTGTTACTCATCAAACTGGGAACTCCTTGAGAGCAGAGATAATTTTGTTCACCTGTCATCAGCACGCAGATCTGGCAGGGAGTAGATGCCAGGTGTATGCTAGGTGGATAAAGGCTTCAAGTTAGGCAGAAGGAGGAGGCTTGCCCTCTCCAGAGGTATGGGAGAGAAGAGAGATGAGTGAGGAATTTGATCTGCCCTGGAGGCTGGGAGAACTGCTACCTACTGAGTGCCTGTGGATGCTTGAGGCAGTTAGATCATTTGTTGGGTTATAACTAGAAGGAAGGAGGACATAGGAATAGCCCTTACAGGTTAAACCCCATCGACTCAGAAAGCTGTGTAAATGACAAAAGAAATTCCTAGCACATATCTTGGCAGTGAAGGATGAATACAAATCTACTGGGGCCGTGAGGTCCAGGGTATTGTGAACTGTAGAAAGGTGGAGAGAATAGATTGGGAGAGGGGATTCCAGAAGGTGGTAATCATTAGAGGCTCAGCTTCTCAGTGCTAACTGATACCCTGAAAATTCTCACCCATACCCCTGACTTTGTTAACATGTCAGCATCTCATTTGTTTACTCCCATCTCCCTAGCCTCAGGCCTGATTGTGTTAACAGTTGACCTTATTTTGCTAAAATCTATTTGCAGCATTCAGGCTGGGAATTCTGCCACCCTGTGGCTCCTCAGGTCCCAGCCAGCCTCCTTGAGTTAGCTCTCACCTAGTCTGCACATCTGCTCTCATGAAACCTTCATGACCTCTGATCCTGGCTCTGATCACAAGCCGAGATGGTACAGGTGGATTCTGAGCGCTGAGCTTGGGGGGGCCTATGCAGGACAGCTGTGCTTACTCTTCTTGTCCTCTGGAGCTGGTGTTTGCCCTGCATGTGCACTTAATGTTGTGCTCCCTGTTGTAGGTTGAATTGTGTCCTGCAAAAAAATAGGTTGAAGTCCTAACACATACACACACACACACACACACACACGCGGACGGTATCTCTGAATGTGACTTCATTCGGAAAGAGAGTCTTTACGGATGTAATCAAGTTGAGATGAGGTCATAGAGAATTAAGGTGGACCCTAAACCGAGTGACTGGTGTCCTTCTAAGAAGGCCATGTGAATACACAAAGGAAACATAGAGAAGAAGGCCATGTGAAGACGGAGGCAGAGGCTGGTAGTGTCCTGCCACAAGCCAGGGAGCACCAAGGATTGCTGGCAACCACCAGAAATTAGAAGAGTCAAAGAATGATTATTCCCTAGAGCCTTTTTGAAGGGTGGATGGCCTCGCTGATACCTTAATTTTCAGAATTCTCCCTCCAGAACTGTAAGAAAACAAATTCCTATTGTTTTAAGCCACCCACTTCATGGTAATTTGTTACAACAGTGTTGGGAAATGAATACAGATTTTGGTCCTGGGAAGTAGAGTGCTGCTGCAACAAATGCCTAAAAATGTGGATGTAGCTATGCAATTGGGTAATGGGCATAGGCACATGGTAGAGAAAGCTTTGATGCCTTGAAGAGACTGTTGATGGAAATTTGGAGGTTAAAGGTGCTTTTGGTGAGGTCTCAGAAGGAAATAAGGAACATGTTATTGCTGGAAGAAAAGCAATCCTTGTTACATGCAGAGAAAACTTGGCCCAATTGTTTATAATGTTGGGAAACTAGAACTTGTAAGTGGTAAACGTGGGCATTTAATTGAGAAGATTTCCAAGCAAAATTTAGATGGTGCAACCTGGCTTTACTTTGTTGCTCATAGTAAAATGTGAGAGGGAAGAGATTAATTGAGGAAGGAACTGATAATCTCTAGGTGAGATTTTCGAGTTTGAGTTAACGCTGGAATGGTTGAAGACTTTTGGGAATGTTGGGATGAGCTGAATGTATTTTGCATGTGGGAAGAACATGGGTTTTGGGGACATAGGGTAAACTACAAAGGAGCTCTGGTGGTGCAGTGGTTAAGGCATTTGGCTGCTAATGAAAACGGTTGGTGGTTTGACTCATAGTGACCTCCATTGGACTAACAAGGCTGTAAACCTTTAAAGAAGCAAACTGCCTCATCTTTCTTCTGTGGAGTGGCTGGTGGGTTTGAACAATTAAGAACTTTGAAATGTTGGAAATAATAGGGTGAGGGTGCTGGTTGCATGAAGTCTTACTTGAACAATGGTACCTTTGATTTTTGATAAGAATGTAGAGGGAATATTGGAGTTGAAAAACCAAAATTGAAAGTTGTTTACAAGCAGGGGAGATACAGAGTACTCCAGGCTCTTTGGAGGAGAGAGGAAGGCACTCAGCTAATTGTGCTACACAGGTAACTCCTCCTCTTGGGACCCTGACAGTAGCAGATGAGGGCTTAAGTATGGCTGGAATATGTAGGCCTGCCTAGAAGGAGGTGGCTAGGTGACCCTCTGTTTTCTCTTTGTTGTTGTTGTTATGTGCCCTTGAGTGTTTTAGAGCCTGGCTGTTGTTGTTGTTGTTGTTTGCCGTTGAGTCCGACGCCCCAACTCATAGTTGAGTCCGACGCCCCAACTCATAGCGACCCCTCCTTGGGTTTCCGAGGCAGTATCACCACGGAAGTAGGATTGCCCAACCTTCCTTCCGAGGAGTGGCTGGTGGGTTTGAACCGCCAGCCGTCGGTTAGCAGGCAAGTGCCTTAGGCACTATGCTACCAGAGCTCCTTTAGAGCCTGGCATAAGGATGTAAAGCACATGGCTACCACCGTGGACCTAGTAACTCCCATCCCTTGTATGGACATAGAATGGACTAGTCTGCCTTGTTCCTCGTGTCCTACTGCTTAGCCTTTCAATAAGGAGCCATAAATGTACCACCTCCCCTCCCAGCTTTTCTAAAATGATCAAACTATGGGCCTCACCTCATATAATTGTTAGCTATTTTTGTCTTTTCGTGCTGTCTAGACCCTTAACTTGGTGGCTGCACCTGGCTCCTTTTGGAGCTCCTGGTGCAACCCCCTTTTCTTTCTTTCCCTGACTCCAACATCTGGGGCTCCTCGGAGTCCACAGGACTCTCTCCCAGGTTAAGTACTCAGACAGCACCCGTAGAAGAAGCCCACTCCTCTTATGGAGTCTTTTCCAAGTCCTCTACACTGTGGCCCAGAGTCCAGACCTGACATACCACGAGCAATGTCGAGCTCCAGCACTGCCTCTCTCTTTGTTGACTCGGTTCTTAGGATGTGGCTTGTGCTCATATTTTCTGCTGTTGTTTTTTCCTGTTTTTTTGTCTAACATTCAATTTTAAGTCTAGAGACTGGGCATTGCTTTGAACCCCAGCTGGTGACTAGGACTATGTTATTTCACAAAACTGCTACCAGGCCTTTTGTAGAGATAGGTCCATTCTTGTATTCCTGGCATGTTTAATGTCTCATATATGGAAATCTCTTAGAGCTATTCATAAACTACCTAGACTGTGATTGAGCCAGAAGTGTTCTCTGTGGATTGAAACTTCTAGACCTTTACCTGATCTAGGCTTTGGACCTTGTACCGAGAATGCCCTAGCAGTCCGGGAGACCCAGCTCTGGCAGCCATAGGCCAGACCTTAGGATCCAACAGTGCTGCTTTCTACTCTCACCAGCCATCCCCTTTACCATTCTCACACCCTAGTATTGCTTGCCCTATAGGATGGAAGTGACTGTATCTGGGCACATGGGCTCCTTCCAGCCCAGAGATGGCTCGGATGTATTGAGAAATCACTAGTTTTCTCCTCATTGCCTCATCGGGGAGTATGGTTTAATAAGGCCTCCTATATTGCTCTGAGGCCTCTCATCCTTCCCAAACTAGACTTTGACTAGCAGAGATATAGGCACAGGGCTTATTATAATAGTGTGTGGCAATTCTGAGGAAAGAAACTAGTTTCCCTGAATGGGAGAGTGTGTTTGGAAAGTCTTCATGGAGAAAGGGATACCTAAGCTCAGTCTGAAAGATAAGTAGAAATTAGCCAGGAGAAAAGGGATGATATACATTCCTGGCAGAGAGACTAATGTGTGTAAGAATATGGTGGTTGTGTGTGTATATGTGTGAGAAAGAGAGAAGAGGAGAGAAAGAGGGAGGGAGAGAGAGAGAGGGAGGGAGGAGGAGAGAGTGAAAAAGAGAGAGAGTGAGAGCCAGCAAGCTACTGACTGTGTTGAGCACAGGGGGAGAGGAGACAAGAAATGTAGGTTGCATTCAGATGCTGATGGTGTTGGTATGAGCAACTTAGTGATCTTGTAGGCACAGGGAGTTTATAAATCAGGGCCAGGTTATGGGATCAATCCTAGGGGAGTGGGAGCTCAGAAACAAGAGAGAAATGTGGGTTGGTAGTTAAGGAGGTGTTCCTGGGAATGCAGTGAAGTCTGCAAGTCTAAGTTGCCGAGGGTACCCTGACTCACCATGCCCTCCCCTCTCTGGCAGTGACACGCCACAATCACCTCAAAGACTTCATGCTAGTGGTGTCTATCGTTATTGGTGTGGGCGGCTGCTGGTTTGCCTATATCCAGAACCGTTACTCCAAGGAGCACATGAAGAAGATGATGAAGGATCTGGAGGGGTTACACCGAGCTGAGCAGAGTCTGCATGACCTTCAGGAAAGGTAAGGAAGGCCCTGCCCCTTTCCTGCCCTGGTGCTGCCAGCCCGTAGAGCCTCCTGCTGCGTTATGGGTTATCTGATGCCAGGGACCATGCTGACATGGCTGCCTGGGCTGTGGAATCCTTCCCAAATTGCATCGGGAGCCTAGATTCCTGCTATTCCAGTTGCTCTGGATATTTACCCCCCAGGGGAGAAGCTTCCTTCTCCTTCCTGCCTCTGAGCGTTAGAGGAAGAACTGTGTAGCTGTCAGAGGTCTTGAGATTCCCTGTTTGTGTAGACTCGTTAAGGGTATTCTTTTCTTTTGTCCCATTTCTGGACTGTTTCTCTTCCCATAACAGTAGATACAACTAACTATTTTCCACTCTTTCCCAAAGAAACAGATCTTTCTTCCCAGTGCCCCTAGTTCTTTCTTGCATGGAATCTAAATCTCTTAACTACTGACTACTTGTATGAGCTTGGATAAATCCCTTTCCCTTCCAGGACTGACTTTCTCATCAGTAATGTGAAGGCATTAAACTGGGAGAGCAGTAAGGGTCTTCTAGCTCTGATGGTCTGGGATTATGTTTAAATAAAATGTGACTTAAAAACTATGGCAGAAATTTTTGCTGTGAAAAGAAGGTTCTAGTCGGTCACTTAGGTAGTCAATCTGAGTACTTCCTGACATGTTCTAGGAGCCAGATCTATGCTGGGAATTATAAGGAACTCACTGTTAGGAGGGCAACAAAACTCACAAGAAGGAGCAGAGAGCACACAGTGTAGTAACTCAGTGCTAGCCTGTGGGCGGAGAATTGTAAGGATTGGAGGAGTACAGAGGCAAGCGATCCACAGATGTATGGCTCTGAGGACATGGCCTTGAAAAATGGGTAGGGAAGTCCTGGTAATTAAGGTTGAGTGTATGTGGCACAGCCAGATTTCTGGGACTTTAAGACTCACATAGAGGAAGTAGGATGCAAAAGTTAATTGATTAAAAGTTAAATGAATGCATGTTTGTTTTTGTTTTGTTTTAAGAAGAGGAGGGAGCCTACTTCAGGACTGTCTTTTAGGACAATAATTCTGGCAGCCTAAAGACTCTAGTTTGGAGGTCTTGAAGGAATCCGTGTAAAAGGGCAATGAAGCCTGACACTTTTATTTTTTTAATCACAGATATAATTTCTTTTTTTGAAGGTAAGGATATCTTAGGAACCAGGCGTTATTAATCATTTAAATGCATTATTGCTTTTGATCACCACAACCCTTTGAAGTAGGTATAATTATCCTTATTTTAGAGTTGAGGAATGGTGGCTTAGAGAGAGTAAGTGCTATGTTAGGGCCACATGTCAGTAAGTAAGTTAGGACTTTTGGCACCCAGAGGGTGCTGATTTTACTGAGGCAGCAGCCTTGCCAGATTTCCACGGGTTAGTGTTTGTAGCTGCTGAGAAGTGCAGAACTAGGAGCCTGATCTTTGAGCTGATTCCTGGCTGCCCTTCTGGGCCCCATGCTCTTGGAGCCTTTGCCAACTGGGGGCTAACTGCTGCTGTCTTAGTGGTCCCCATACTTCATTTGTCTGAAAAACATGTACTGTTTTCATTCCAAGAGCAAAATAATCTTGGCGGGAGACAGTCCAAGTTTGGGGATAAAACTAAGCTCCCAGCCCTCCCTGCTCCCCAAGGCCTCAGAGCAAATGACCACTGTGGCAGTTAGACACACACACACACACACACACACAGGCTTACACATGTACCACCTCTGGCAATATCCAGACCTCACATGCATGCACTGAACCACCACAGAACTTTACAGAGCTCCTGGTATTATGGGTGAATAAATGCAGCACAATGTGTACATTCCAGTTAGGATTTCATTGGGTTTTCAAGATAATTCTTTGCAGCAGGCAGGGATTTTGATTCCTATTTTATAGTGAAAAAATAGGCCTGGTAAAAGGAACAGACTTACCCATAGTCATAGAGCTACTTAGAGCCAGGACTTTAATCAAACTGCTTTGTTTTCTTACTTGTAAGTTGTTGCTTTCAAGATAGTCTTCTCTGGGGGAGATGCAGTGGGGTAGGGCTTGATTATACATCTGTATGCTCATTTCTGCACCCAACACTATTTATTGCTCTTCATCTCCACTACTCTCTCTTGAGACTATGAAAGTGAGTCAGGCGTGGTTCTGCTTTAAAGGAGCCTTGCTACTGGGGTGGGGAGGGCAGGCATATCATTGTATTTGCTTTTCTGAAGAGGCTGCTTTCAGAGAGAACAATATTTCAGTGAGGACTTGAATTTCTAATGGTAGAATTTCAGGCGGTTGGGTCTTGGAAGAATGCAATAAAGGAGAATTTATTCAGCAAGGGAAGAGGAGAGTTAGGAAATGGCGCCTCTTATTTGTTTTTAGCCATTCAAGTAGCGCCCTCTGCTGTGCATCTTAAGGAGGTTCAACTCTTTTTCTCTCCTGGGGCAAAGTAGGCAGGAGACTGCAATATAACAGCAGGAACCTTGCAGCCTAGACATTTCTTTTCTTGCCTCCATACTTTTCCCGTGCCATCTTTTGTCTCAGCCACTAGCAGTTCTATACTTGGGCCTTTTCAGAAGTTGAGTTCTTGTTTTGCCACTTTTATTTCTATCTACTTCATAAACTCGGTGCTCAGTGTTCTTCTTAGCCTGCTCTTCATGTTCTGGAACCTGTCCTTTCTTTTCTGTACCCCCAGTCTAAGCTGTGTATTTTATTTCTCCCTTACCTTTTCCCCTTCTCCCCTGGTAACTCATTAGTTCCTATTAAGATGGGAAGACTTTATGGTAGTTAAGTATTTTCCTTCTTCCAGAAGGATTGTTGTTGTTGTTATGTGCTGTCAAGTCAGACCTGACTCATAGTTACCCCTCCTTGGGTTTCCGAGGTGGTATCACTACGGAAGTAGATTGCCCAACCTTCCTTCCAAGGAGTGGCTGGTGGATTTGAACCACCAGCCATCTGGTTAGCAGTCAAGTGCCTTAGGCACTATGCTACCAGAGCTAATCCAGAAGGATTAGCAAATTTTTACTCTTTGTTCTTGGTCTAGCCCAGGACTCACCTTCCCTGATTCCTTTCAGATAGAGCTGATCACTCCATCCTTTGAGTTCACTCGACACCTTGTATATTTCTATAGCATTTACCACATTGTATGCAGTTATCTGTTTACTTATCTATGCTGGACTAGAACATGAGTTTCTCCATGTATCTATTGCTTAGCAAAGGGCCTGGCATTTAGCACTTTTTAGGCACCTAAAAGTGCTTGGTGAGTGATTAATGATTGAATGGATTAACATAGAAATGTGGAGGAAAGAGGAAGGAAGGAGGTTTGGTTATGTGGATGGGAATGTGTGGGTGGAATTTTAGATTTTCATTATAGCTAATGCCCTTGAGATCTTTCCTGCCACAGAAGATACTTAGGAAAGGAATTCAGGACCTAAGGGTAGCAGAGGGTCCTCCTAAGCCCTGCCCAGTCCCTTAGCTTTCATTTTCCTGTGCTTCTGGGAGCAGGTACTCAGGAGTTCAAGAGGTCCAGCTTAGTAGTTCTTTTCTCATTTTCTTTAAGCCTCTCCCCTACTATCACCCAGTCATATCTCAGCCATTAGGCTTTCCCTTGATCTTTATCTAGCTTACAGAATATTCTACATTTATAGAACCTTCCAGACATCCTAGTATAAAGGAGTTAACAGGAATCTGGAGTCATACAGATTAGAATTCTAGAGCTCATATTTATCTGAAAGTCACTTCCTCTTTCTAAGCCTTTATATCTACATCTGTCCAATGCTGATAATGATACTAATTATCTTTAGGGAGGACAAATGTGAAATAATTTATAAATGAGCTTTCTCATGATTTTTATTATGTGAATCACTTTAGAGGAGGAATTCATATGCTGGGGACCTGGCTTCAAAGCCGTGATTACTAGCGGCAAGATTATTACCATTGTAAGGATTAGGGTGAGGATGGTGGTTACTGTTGGCCCTGGGCTAACTCAGAGCCCAAAGTCAGCAGAGAAGGGAAGACATGTGCTGAGTGCTGGAGCTCTCATTTTCCTCTTTGATGCCGTGACTCATGGCATGTTGGCTGGCCCCTCCTTGTCTGGCCTCCATCAGCTCCCTGCATCACCCCCTAGGCTGCACAAGGCCCAGGAAGAACACCGCACAGTAGAGGTGGAGAAGGTACATCTGGAGAAGAAGCTGCGTGATGAGATCAACCTTGCCAAGCAGGAAGCCCAGCGGCTGAAGGAGCTGCGGGAAGGCACTGAGAATGAACGGAGCCGCCAAAAATATGCTGAGGAGGAGTTGGAGCAGGTAGGGGAATCTGGTAACCCTTAGACACCTCAAGGGTGGGAAAAGGGCAGGACAGGGGTCAAGGGTCTTGCTGGAAAGTTTCTTGTGTGAGGACTTTGAAGTATGGCTCAAAGACTATCTTCTAGGGTCACTAGACTCTTATGAATAAGAGCAGTAGAACAGTTGCTAACAATGATTACCATCATTTTCAAAGGAGGTGATAACAGTTATTTTGTTCTTTTTCTATTGAGATATTTACATAAATATAGTGTACAAGTCATAAGTACACAGCTGGAAAACTTTTACATATATATATATATACATACCTGTATGCTAGGTACAAAACCTTTTAAGCACCCAGAAGGCTTACTTTTGCTGCCTTCCCCCCAGTTAATGTACTACCTAAAAGATAACTTATGTCATAATCTCTAAACCATTGATTAGTTTCACCTGATTTTGAACATCTACAAATGGAATTATACAATTTATACTCTTTTGTGTTTGGTTTCTTTCACTCAACATTATGTCTGTAAGATTCATTTACGTTGTTGCATGTAGTTGATTTATTATCATTGCTGAGTCAGTCAAAAAGGGGAAGGCCTTCAAAGAGGATTGACACAGTGGCTGCAACAGTGGGCTCAGGTTTAACAAGGATTGTGAGGCTGGCACAGGACTGGACAGTGTTTCATTCTGTTGTACATGGGGTTGCTATGAGTCAGAGCTGACTCGACGGCACCTAACAACAATAGCAACAGCTGAGTAATAATCCATTGTTATGAGTATACCATAATTTTTTATTTTTATTGTGATTTGGGTGAAAGTTTACAGAGCAAATTCACTTTCCATATAGCAGCTCACATATACTTTGTCTCATGACATTGACTGTAATTTCCCACAATACAACAGCTCCCCTCCGGCTTCCTCTCCATAGTTACCTCTTCCCTGTGTCCTTCCCTCCCATGCACTCCCACCCCTGCCCCTCAAGCTGTCTCCCTGTGCATATACAGCCCTTCTATTCTCCCATGATTGTTCTCCCCAAGGAGCATATCTACCTAATGTAAATGTTCAGCTCCTATGCCTGTCTTGTGTTTGGCTGGAAGTCACAAGAGTGGGTTCAATTCCAGACCTGAAGGGCAGCTGGGGGCCATAGTCTCAGTGGTTCCATCAGGCTCTATCACACCAGCAAACCTGGTCCCTTATTATTATTATTATTTTTTTTACTGATTTTGAGTTTTGTGACTAAAATTTATTTATCCATTCTCCTGCTGCTAGACATTTTGGGTTATTCACAGTTTTTAGTTTATTTTTATTATTATTTTGTTTCTATTAATAACATTGCTGTAAACCTTCTTGCACTTGTGTCTTAGAGGGGGTAAGTAGTCATTGGGTATGTAATGTTGTTGTTCTTAGTTGCTGTTGAGTTGGCTTCAAGTCATGCAACCTTATATGGAACAGAACAAAATGTTGCCCAGTCTAATGCCATCTCCATTATCTTTGATATGTTTAAGCCCATTATTCAAGATGTTGTGTCAATTTACCTTATTGAGGGCATATAGTAGGGTATTTATATATTTAGCTTTATTAGAAGCTGCCAAACAATTTTCCAAAATGATTGTACCAATTTATACTGTCACTAGTAATGCATGAGAGTTCTAGTTGATCTAAAACCTTTGTACTTTTAGTCCTTTTAATTTTAGACATTCTGGTAGGAGTGTAATGGTATCTCATTATGATTTTAATTTACATTTCCCTAATGACTAATAATATTAAACACTTTTTCATAAATTTATTAGTTATTTGGTTTAAGAAGTGCCTGTTCAAATGTCTTCTCATTTTTTAAGTTGATTGTCTTTTTCTTATCAGTTTATAAGAGTTCTTTATATATTCTGGATGTGCCTTTTGAATGCATATAGATGTGTGTGTATTTGTGTGTATATGTGAGTGTGTGTATCTTCTCCTATCTGTGGTTTGCTTTATTTCTCTCTTAATATTGTTTTTTTGATGAACAGAAAGTTCTTGTTGTGTCCTGTTTATAAAATCTTTCCCTATCTCCAAGATACCCTCCTAAATTTTCTTATAGAAACTTTGTTGTTTTTATTGTTTGCATGGAAGGATATGGTTTATTTCAAATTAGTTTTGCATATGATAAGAAGTAGAGGATCAAGGTTCTTTTTTCCCCTCCAGATGTTCAATTAGTCCGGCTCCTTTGTTGAAAGGATCGCTCGTCCTTGATTAAATCGCAGTGGCTCTGAAAATCAGGCCGTCGTTTGGGAGTCTCTGTTCTATGATCTGTCTACCTTGAACATACTGTCTTACAATAAGTCTTGATATCTGGTAGTATTAGGTAACTTGGCTATTCTAGATCTTTTGGGTTTCTTTTTTAGCTTACCATGCTGCTGTCCTCCCTCCCTATGACCCTATCCCCTTCCCAACCTCCCCCACCAAAAAAAAAAAAAAAAAACTGCTGAAATTTTGATTGTGTTTGCAATGAATCTGTACAGCAATGTGGAGAAAATTGATATTTTAATCAGATGATTCCTCTAATGCATGAGCATAATTTGTCTTGCCATATATTTAGGTCTTTTTACGTTTTCCTCAGTCATATTTTACAGTTTTAAATATAGAGGGCTTGTTTTTTTTAACTTTTATTTTTCTGGCTTTTTGAGGGAGAAACTTAGATCTTTTCTAATATAGCATTTTAGAATTATGCATTTCCCTGTTAGCACTGCGTTAGCTGTGTTGAGTATATTTTTATAATTCATATTTTCATGATCATTTAAGGAGCTCTGGTGGTATAGTGGTTAAGGCATTTGGCTACTAACCGAAAGGTAGGTGGTTTGAATCCACCAGCTGCTCTGTGAAAGAAAGATAGAGCAGTTTGTTTCCATAAAGATTTGCAGCCTTAGAAAGCCAATGGGAGTGACTGTGAGTCAGAATTGACTCAATGACAGTGGGTTTGGTTTGAGTTTATTATCATTTAGTTCAAAAGATTTTCTAATTTTCCTTGTGATTTCTTTTTTGACTCTTGGTTATGTAGAAGTGTTTTACTTAATTTTCAAACATTTGGGGACTTTTCTAGTTATTTTCTCTTGTTCATTTCTAGTTTTAATTTTCCTGTGGTCACAGAACATATGCTGTGTGGAGGCCATATACTTACTCTCCTACACAGCCCCAGAATTCAGTAAATGCCCCATAGGAAAAACTGGAAGTATGTGTGGGACTCTTTAATTTCTGGTTTGTCATACCACTTCCATGATACCACCAAAAGCTCTGCTGGTTTCTCTGTGTTCCAACAGAGTTCTTCTGCCTGGGCCAAGCCCAATTCGCAGCCCTTATGCAGGATGGTCAAATACCTCTAAGGAAGAAAATGTCTGGCAATTGTCAGCTCATCTTAGAAGGGCTTTTTAGTTCATTTAGTCCAGTTGATTTCAGTCTCCAAAGCCCCCTATACTCTAAAAATTATCTAGGACCTCAAAGAACATTTGTTTATAGGGACTATATGTTGATACAGGAGCTCTGGTAGTGAAATGGTTAAGCACTTGGCTGCTAATTGAAAGGTGAGTGGTTTGAACCCACCAGGTGCTCTGTGGGAGAAAGATGTGGCAGTCTGCTTCTAAAAGGATTACAGCCTTGGAAACCCTACAGGGAAGTTCTTTTCTGTCTTACAGGATTGCTATGAGTTGGAATTGACTCAATGGCAATGAGTTATAGTTGAGAAAATATTAAAATATTTATTAAAAAAACCAAAAAGCCAAACTCACTGCTGTTGAATTGAATCCAACTCATAGCGACCCTTCCTTGGGTTTCCAAGGTGATATCTCTACGGAAGTAGATTGCCCAGTCTTCCTTCCAAGGAATGGCTGGTGGGTTTGAACTGCCAGCCTTCTGGTTAGCAGTCAAATGCCTTAGGCACTATGCCATCCCATCAGAGCTCCTAAAATGTTTATTAATTCATTTAAAATAACTGTATTAGATCCATTACATGTTAACATAAAGAACATATTTTTATAAAAATTGACTACATTTTCTAAAAACAATTTAATAAGAGTGACTGTCTATAATTTTGCAAATCTCTTTAATATCTGGCATAATAGACATTTGGATTCTTCTATTAGTGGGTATATTTAATCTGATTGTGTGATTTGATATCATACATCATGTAGGCTTTGGAGAAATCCACAGTTCAGTTGTGAGAGAATGGGAATGAAAAAGGCAAATAGTGTCTTCGTATTATTATGGAAGTAGTTTTTATTTTTTAATTATTGTTGTTGAGAATACACAGCAGAACCTACACCAGTTCCACAATTTTTACATGTACAATTCAGTGACACTGATTACATTCTTCAACCTGTGCACCTGTCCTCGCTCTCCTTTGCTGAGTTATTCCCCCCATATGAGCATGAGCTCACTGCCCTCTAAGGTTCCTATCTAACTTTACAAGTTGTATTGTCAGTTTGATCACATGTAGATAGATCTTAAAAAACACAATGTTCAAGGCAGGCATTCTTTACTAGTTAAGCTAAACTATTGTTTAAGAAGAATTCAGGGGATATACTTTGGTGATTTAAAGTTTGAAGATTATCTCAGGGCAATAGTTTTAAAGTTTCATGCAGTCTCGCTGGCTCCAGAAACTCCAGAGTCCATAAGAATTTTAAATTCCATTCTGCATTGCCCCCTTTTTGATCAAGATTCTTCTGTAGCATCTTTGATCAAAATGTTCAGTAATGGTAGCTGGACACTATCCAGTTCTTTGGGTCTCATGTCAAAGGAGGCGGTTGTTCATGGAGGCAATTAATCACATATCCCATTTCCTCCTCCTATTCTTGATTCTCCTTCCTCTATTGCTCCAGGTGAAGAGACCAATTGTGACTTGAATGCCCACTTGTAAGCTTTTAGGACCCCAGGTACTATGCAGCAAAATAGGAGGTAGAACAGAAGCATTAAAGCATTATTAGGCCGATTAACTCCTAGGTCCCATGAACCCATGATCCATTCCAAGGAACCACAAATCCCATGAGGTG